AGTTGCTTTGGTGAAGGCAACCCAAAAGGACCATGCATAACCGGGTCAAGTACATACCAAATATAGTTACAGCTTAGACACTAATCCAACAGCTATTACTTCTATCCATGGATTTTTTATGTCTGTGGTAGCAACATTGAATGCATTTGGTCAATGGATATACGGGGATTACATGAGTCTTCATGCCTTGAGTCGTTCATGTCACCACCCGAGTGGCCTGGTTAAGTTTATTGATGGGGCTAATGACATGAGCGATCATATTGTTGCCATTCCAAATCCGCCACCCAATGGACCGGAAGCCGACCTTAATGATGGGTTAGTGTTGGACGCTCAGCTACTTGATCATGTTTTTAAACTACCTATCACCACCGTCAAAGCATCCCTCATAACTGTTGTATGGCTTTCTCTCAGGCTTTGAAAGCAACCCTTTCTAAGATGGTTCCTCATCCCGGGTCTGTTGAAGTATGGGTTGCTTTGTTAATTCTTCCTAGGTGTACTCTGCAGGTGTTCAGGCCCAAGAATAGGCAAGAAAGTAGGTATGGAAACATGAATTCATTGCAACATCGTAATATCCTAAGCGCATTAGCTACTTGGGGGACTGAAGATGGTAACGCCAAGCTAGTTAAAAACTTAGTTGACAATGCAAGACTAGAGCAACAAGACAAAAAAGAAGAGTACATTCAGGAGAAAAGAACACTGGACATCACCAATGTCAGACAATGTGTTCGTAAGGTTGTTGATGGACATTTTACAGCAACAGTGAAAGTTCTATGCTCCTCGGGGGTTGCTCCATTTGGGGGTGATACCACGAAAGCATTGGAGTATAAGCATCCATACAAGCCACCACCTTCAATGTCAAGCACCATATTTTCGGAACCTCCCCTTGTAGTGGATGTTGGCAATGTCCTTGGGGGCATTAAATCATTCCCTAAAGGTACCTCATGTGGGAGAGATGGGTTGAGAGCTCAACACATTTTGAATACTCTTTGTGGAGCAGGTTCAACTATAGTCAACGATCTCCTACGTGTTATTACATCTGTGGTTAATGTATGGCTAGAGGGAAGATGCCCTTCGAGTTTAACATAATTTGTTGCCTCTGCTCCTCTTACGCCGCTCTTAAAACCTGACAAGGGAATACGACCTATTTTAGTAGGCACTATATGGAGAAGTTTGGTTTCCACGTTGGCTATGAAATGTGTTGGTAAAGAAATAACCAAGTATCTCAATGATTTTCAGTTTGGGGTCGGGGTGACGGGTGACGCTGAGGCCATATTACATAGCGTCAATCGGGTGTTGAGTGAGTGCCACGATAATTGGTCTCTTTCCACGTTTACCGTGGACTTCTCCAATGCCTTTAACCTTGTCGACATATCTGCATTACTTCATGAGTTCAGATTGAGGTGTTCTTCTATATCCTTGTGTGTAGAATTCCTATATGGTCAAGCAGCAATGTTGTATCTAGGAGACACACATATTTGGTCCACTATTGGGGTTCAACAAGGAGACCCCTTCAGACCACTTCTCTTTGCCCTTGTGTTGCACCCACTCTTACATAATATTAGAGACAATTGCAAGGTAGCCAAAGCGTTGGACGTCATTAATGTGAATGACCCAAAACCGGGCCTTCAGTTGAATATCAAAAAAACCATAATCTTTTGGCCCTCGTGTGACGGTAGGAAGCTACGTGAGGGGCTATTCCCGGTTGGCATCGGGAGACCGCCTTTGGGGGTTAAACTTCTTAGGGGAGCTGTTAGTAAAGATGCTAGTTTCATTAGCAGCTTAGCCATAAAGAGAGCTGAAAAGATTATGAAGTTGATGTATTTTCTTCCATAATTGTCTGACCCCCATAGTGAGCTCCTTCTGCTTCGGTCTTGTATGTGTATTCCTAAACTTTTCTTTGGGCTGAGGACGTGCCAACCCGTTCACATGGAGAAGGAAACATTATTCTTTGACAATGGGTTGTGCAGGGCGATTGAGGACATTGTGGTTTGTTGTGGAATTTCTTTGGCGACATATAGTGGTGAATTTCTTCCCTAGTTGGTGGTTTAGGTTTATACTCGGCAGTAGAGGCTACCTCATATGCTTTTGTTGCCTCAAGGGTTAAATCTTGAATCTTGGGTATTACAAGACCACATCTGATGAGATAGCAACATATATGGTATGTATTCTGATAATGATTGTGCCTTGGCTTCTCTTCGTAACAAGCTTCCGGATATTGACCTTAACAATTTTACTACTAAAGACACCCGCTAAATCCCAAAATACACATGCAAGTGCCTTTTTTCGTAAAATTGTCCAAGATATGGAAGTGCATCTTGACATGACGGATCGGCCGAAAGCGGTTTTCCAGTGCTTACGTGCACCACATGCTCAAGATTTTCTTCTGGCTATCCCTATAGATGGGCTTGGCCAACATATGTCTCCTATGGAGTATCGTACTATCCTCAAATATCGACTCATGATCCCAATATTCCCAACTGACGAGATATGTCTGGTGTGTCACAAGGCATGTTTGGACTCTTTTGGAGAGCATGCAGTTCACTGTAAGAACTCCCGAGGTTCAAATACAGGCACGATCTGGTTAGGGATGTTTTGTTTGACATATTTAAGCGTGCGGGGGTTTCCGCCAAGAAAAATGCACGTATGAATTTCTTAACCGACCCGGAAGAAGGAATGTCAACCCTTAGATCGGCTGACGTTTTGATTTTTGGATGGGTTGGAGAGAAACACGCATGTGTGGACCTCATAGGGGTATCCCCTCTCGTGGGCTTGAGGGTTGGGGGTTTCACAGCGGGAAAGACTGTTTTAAAAGCTACTACAGACAAAATCACTAAATATGATAAAATCGTGCATTGAAAATCAACACGTGTTCATACCATTTGCATTTGATACGTTTGGTTTTCTCATGTCGAATACGGTGGAGCTTCTTAATTGAGTAAAACGAATCATGCATAACAATGTTATATCTCCTAAATCTATGTATGTGGTCTTCAAAAGAATTAATTACCATACAAAAATGCTTAGCGACATAGCTTGTTGCTCTTTTGTCATCTCACTCGTATGATGATATAAAGTTATTTAATCCAAAAAAAACAAACAAAAAAAAAACAATTGGTCCCTATAGCAATTAAAAAAAATTATATATATTTTTCTTTAATCCATTTTTTTATGGTAAAAATTTCATTTATTTCAATTACTTCTCAAAAAGAAAAAAAACAAAGAAAACAGATAATTTGTTGAATTTCAATTCGCAGGGGCGGACCTAGGGGTGATCCACGGTGGCACCGGCAACCCCTAACTTTTCCGGCCGCAGTGGAAAATTTTTCGAAAATTTTAAAATTTTAATTTTTAATACTACCGTGCAACCCTTAACTTTCCTGTGCAACCCCTACTGTAAAATCCTGCGTCCGCCCCTGTCAATTCGTAAGTTTCGCTAACAAGATTCATAGTTATTCAAATCTTTATCTTTCAGTTTCTCTGTTTGAACACCAATTTCATCATCCTTTCTTTAGAATGAATTTTTTTCTTCTCCATGAACCCAGGGACGGAGCTTCAACATTTAATTCGGAGGGGCCGAAATTATAATGTGTATAAAAAATTAGTAAGCAGGGAGGGCTACAGCCAAAGTTTTATATTTTTTAGGTCTAAAATGTATAAAATGGAACTAGAAGGACTATATCAAACCAAAAATCAGGGGCCACAGCCCCCTTGCCCTAATGAAGCTCCGCCAATGCATGAACCATAAGAAACAGACGAATAACTAAAAGAACTTGAAAAAAACATTGATATTTTTTTAGAACTTTCTGTTGTAAAATACTTTAGACTACAAAGTTTGTAAAATCGTAATACAACACCAAAACTTGATATTCCATCAAAACATTCCAATACTTGAATTTGTCATTTAACCCAATACATCAACATTCCTTGGAAAAAATCACAGCCAAAAATGATAAATTCTTATAGAATTACAAAAGTTATAATACCTCATTTCTAATACGATCTCATTTCTAATACGATCTTTTACTTGGATAATTCCAATGGTAGTACATACTAAAAATTCTTCTAAACCCTTTCTACTTCACCATTAATAGCCCCCGTCGATGTAGCTACGTTTCCATTTCCAAGGACTAATTCACTTTTGCCTTGTCTTTTTGCTATCATTTCTTGTGTTGACTTGTAATATGTTGCATATAAGACTAGTTGGGCAAGCCCAAAAAGTGCCCCAAGCCCATTAGGAACCTAAACCAAAAGAATGTCATGATTTAAAATATATAAATAATCCATATTAAATAAAAAGTAAATAGAGAAAGAGAGAGCAATTACAGCAACAAACGGATCGAAACGAATGAGGGCATATGAGAACCAGCAAACGCCATTTGCAAAACAAAATAGAGATAATAGAAACGGCATGTACTCGACACTTTTTGTTGTGATCACCATTTTCTGCATAGATCATAATATATTCACATAAGTCAAATGAAAAATGAACGTAACAAATAGGATCTTCAAGGCATATGAACAAAAAACAATATTGAAGATGAAGAAACTTCTTTTCCATGCTAGATAAGCTAACATGGTCATCCACCAATAATTGAGTTTGTTTTATTTGCTATTTAAGGAATAAGATCATCACACTTTTAGTACAAACTGAATTTGAAATTGGTCCAATTACTTTTGGAGAAATATTCGACCATATGATAACATGTTATAATTGAGTAACACATACTCAACAATGACAACATACAATTATCGCCTTCCAATTTTTCTGAAACATATTCGACAATGATTATACGTAAGACTAATCCCTCATAATTCAGTTTAAAATTCCTCTTAGTTGAGGTTAGATAAATTCTAATTAATTGAAGCATGACATCAACTTTTTAGGGTGCATGAAAGAGAAACGTACCATTACAGATAATGGAGAAGCATACATCATGATGTTACCCGCGATGCAAATGCCACCAACAATGGATGATCGAAGCTTTGTGGTGTGTGCCAGTGTCAATACCAGTACAACCAAAACCCCGAGAAATATAATCTCAAAAAGCAACACCAACAAAACCCTAATTCTATTTTTTTGATCTGAATAGATTATAAAAAGAAACAAGTAAACCGATTCGATAAGTATTCCTGCCCCATTTGTGGTGGTGACTAATAAGCTATGAGGGTGCACAAATGGCAAGCCATAGAAAATCCATAGCCCACAATTCACAAAGGTGACAAGATATGGCACCGGAGAAAATCTTTCAACTGACTTGTTTTTCCATATCCTATAAAATGTTGGCCTGAAAAAAAAAATCATAAAATCTAAAATTCAGAAAAAAGATAATAAAAAATGACAAGTTATATTTAACAATAAATATATATACATACATACATACATACGTTATGTATATATGTATGTATAAAACTAAGAAAATAACAAAGCTTACACTGTCGACAAGAACAAAATGATTGAAATGACGTTTCCTGAAAAGAAAAATAAACGTACATCATCACTAACATTACATATTAACTTTTCTTAAAGTTATATATATATTATATACTACAATCTAAAAAACCATATACCATAGTCCATATAAGCAAATGATAATAAAAATATTTATACTTCCCAAAATGCATGTTTCGGAGCTTAGAATTATACAAAGTAGATAGATTATCAAGACATGCACTATATATTGAATAATCACTAACCATATTTTGCATATAATTAAATACTAATCTTTTTAATGTGTTGTTCATACATAATATGAAGATAGAAGAGCTTACCGATGACACCTAGTGTATTGCGAGCAAAATCGGCAGAAACCATGACTACGGTTGAATATTGTGTGAGAGAGAAAACGAAGAGAAAGAGAGAGACGTTGGTGTAAATTTAATAGGGCAAGCAAAAACGTATTTATAATGAAAGCTTAATATTATTATTAGAAATATAATTAATTGGATATATGGTTCATTGTATTTTAAAAAAATTTTGCAGTTACTATTCATTTTCCTTTTTCTCTATTTTCGAAATACATTAAATGTCAATTACTAATGTTAAACAAATAGAAAAACTTTAATAAACCGAAAGATAATACTTATGATTCAGCTGATAAAAATTTAGACCAAATTCTACCTAAAATTTTACCGAAACTTAGCCTAATGAAACCAAACACACTAAAACTGGTTAAAGTTAAACTGCTGTCTATACATCACAACGTACATTGTCAAATCTCCTGTATTAACGAATGACAAAATAGATATAATGATATGTCACAACATGTGCAAATTAAATATTCTTCAACAGTTAGATCAAAACAAAAAAAAAGTATATAATCATGTTACCATAATTACTAGTATTGAATTTTTTAGTGAGAAAGGGAAAAAGTATGTTACATGTCATATTCACAAATCAAAACAGATTGTGACGTTCTATTAATTAAAAGTTTATATTTTTGGATGTAAATAAGTCGAATTTACAAATGAGTGAAACCGTGTAAGAGGTAAAAACTTGTCCTGTGAAGTTTGTAATAATTTAAAACATGTTAAAACCGTTTTCTATATATTAAAACTCATGTTCTAATAATAGAATGATGGATGGATGCCAAATTTCACCAAAATCCATAATGCCTGGACCATATGCCTAATTCTTGTTGTAAATTCTTTAATTTGAATATATTTAAAGAATATAGAATCTATAAAATGGAAAATGGATAATTTCGTTACAAAATGAGGTTAAAAGAAGTATTTGAAGCTTTCCTTTATTATGGAATAAGCCGGTGTATTTTTTTATTTTTATTTTTATTTTTGTTTTTATTTTTTATTTTTTTGGATATAGAAATAATCAAATTTTTAGCAATTAAATCAAATCACCTTGAAATGGAAAATTCTTTTTCTTTTTTCAATTTTGTTGGAATTGATAAATCATAAATAGATTTTTAGTTCATTTTTTTTTACTTTTTAGATCAAAATTTGGATATTAAAACAAATACAAAGGCAAAATACATTCGAAAAAAAAACTAGTGTGGTTTTATAAAAACATGGATTAATAGTATACTTATAATTTAATAATATAAACTTAAATAATAATATTGTGTTATAAATCATCAATGGAAATTGAATTTTTTTTTTCTCAACGCAATTTACGTATTTTTTTTTAACGGAATCTTTTTTTCATTTATAGTTCAATACATATCGATTGAAGGCAAACGGGCAACAAGTTGCGCTGCTAGCCTTTTCTGGATAGCAAAACCAATTCTTTTTCTCAACGCAGTTGAAAATTAAGATGATGTATTATCTCTCGCCAATTTGTTTATTTAAAACTATCATTTATATTAATAATTTGATTTTTAGATAAAAATAATTGCATTTGGAATTACAAAAACATAAATATTTAAATATGACACAAGCTCACGGTTTTTTTTTCACGGTTAGTTACTTAGTTTATGTTTTCGCTTCAAATATTTATTTCAAGTCAAAGCAATCAATTATAGTCAAACGGTAGAGAATTAATTGCATTCTTAAAAAGCCCAAATTCATATATGCTTGTAAGTTGTAACATCAATAATCTGAGTCATATCCTTATCAAGAATTGATAAGATCGTATGATATTTAAAATTTTATAAATAAATCTGCAAAATTCTCTATTAATATAAATTATAAGAGTATTTCAAAAATATAACATTACTCGTAATATATTTTTTCAGAAAATAATACTATATATATTTTTTTCAGTTTCCAACTCTACAAAGTCAATATGCTTGTAAGTTGTAATTTTTTTTTTCTAAAAGGCGATAAATAGAAATTTTATCCTCTAATTTGTTTTTCAGTTTTTTTAATGATGTAAAAAAGAATAATACCGTTTAAAAATACATAAAACCTCTCACTCTTCAAGGTCTCCAACACCTCATGTAAATGCTGTTCATGCTGCTCCTTGGTCTTGGAGTAGACAATAATATCATCAATGAAAACAATCACAGACCGATCCAGCATCGGCCTGCAAACCCGGTTCATGAGATCCATGAACGATGCTAGTGCATTGGTGAGTCCGAAAGGCATCACCACGAACTCGTAATGACCATAACGAGTTCTAAAGGTCGTCTTCTGTACATCCTCATCTTTGATCCTCATCTGATGGTATCCTGACCGTAGATCAATCTTGGAGAACCAAGATGCACCCTGAAGCTGATCAAATAGATCGTCGATCCTCGGAAGTTGGTATCGGTTCTTCACCGTTAGCTTGTTTAGTTCCCGATAATCGATACACATCTTGTGTGACCCGTCCTTCTTTTTCACGAATAGGATCGATGCTTCATTATGAGGAACTGCTTGGACGGATAAAACCACTGTCTAACAGCTCATGTAGCTGCGTAGACAACTCCTGCATCTCAGGCGGTGCTAGGCGATATGGCACATTGGCTATCGGAGCCGAACCATGCATCAAATCAATCTGAAACTCAACCTACCTCTCGGGAGGCACTCCCGGCAACTCCTCGGGAAAAACTTCGTGAAAATCTCGCACAATGGGTACCCCGCTCAACTCTGACATGGTCTCAACTCGTGTGTCTGAAACATAAGCCAAAAATCCAGAACAACCCTGCTGAAGAAACCTCCTAGCCCTCGCAGCTGAACAGAGAGTTGGTCCATGCGAAACTCTCTCACCAGGAATGACCAGTTCTTCCCCACTTGGGGTTCGAACTCTCACCAACTGTAACAAATCGTTATTCAAACCTATGTAATAGTATAGGTCAATGTGTAGTTCTTTTTATAATAATAAAGAGAAATTTTAGCATAATGTGCATATTTACATAATTGACCCTCAAAAATAAATTATTTAGCAATCTCAACTGGGATGAACCAAGTGATAGAGATTGTAACAAGGTTTCCAAAAACATAAAGAACACAAAAATCCGAGTTATAACGAAG